ATTTAGTGCTACTTGGTCCCAATGGAATTTCCCATTGGGAACCTACTAGCGCTAAGTTGCTAACTGGTTAGCAAGATGCTTCTGAGACACCGGCCACAACCAAGCGTGCTTGCCAACCTTCCCCCACAACAATCCCGCCCCCTTGATAATCGACCAATCACATTCACTTTATTCACTGGTGTAAAGTCGAACACGACTCAGGAGAATTCGGAAATGCAACAGTCGGAACGGCTGCTTCCCTACGACTTTAAATAACCTGGTTGGAACTGGATCTAACATCCAAGTTGAAGGCTTAGATGAAGACAATAATTTTGCTAATTCAGAAAGTTCAACTAGATCAAAGCAGTCTAAACCCGGTTCAGATTCCATGACTACCTCAGATGCTGCCTCACCTTCCAGAGATAAACCAATCACGGATAGAGGAGTGCTAGTGTACTTTTTAATAAGATCAATCTTATTTATAAAGAATTCCATAAAATCATTATCAAATCTAGGATTATTTTGTTATCCTCTATTAATGAGGAGAAATATGCTGCTCTTGCTTTACAAAGGGTCCTCTTATAGAGCAGTAAACTATTTTTCCAGACTAGGTAGGATTCCCGTAGGCCTGTGAAGTGATTATTAATTTATTTATATATATATATATATATATATATATATATATATATATATATATATATTTGTCTGCACCATTAACACCAAGTCAAATTCCTTGTAAGTGCAAACCTACTTGGCAATAAACTTCAGATTAAGATTCAGAGTGCACAGTTCTGCATTAAACCAGGGAGATGGGTTCTATTTTTATTATATGGAGATTATTATTATATTACCTTAAACTATAAAAAAAATACCTAAAGTTTAGCGCATTGGACCACTAGAGGGAGTCGAACGAATAACTGCACAGCAGAGTGTTACCCGTATGGCTTTAGAAAGCGCTGTTGTTATTCTGTAATACTGTGTTCCCTCTAGTGGTCTGGAGCAGCTCAGTATTTGGAGCAGTTTCAGCTGCAAAACCTCAAAGCCGTACAGAAAGCAGGTTGATGTCGGTCAGCAGGAGTAAACCACTGTCCAGTCAGGAGTCTGTTCTGTTTGTGTGACTGTAGTTTTTCTGGCGCCGTCGGACCCTGATGGCCAGGCCCATGATCAAGGAGGCTGGGATGGCATCTCTGCTTCTGGAAAATCCATATTATATCCTTTTCTGTGTTCGGAGCATTGTTCTCTGTGTACACCACTAGAATGTTTCTCTCCAAGGTCCAGTTCCTTTAGAAACTGTCCCATGAATCCAAAAAGATATCCTGCTGAGGAGGGAGCAGATTTGGAAAATGTAAACAATTTACTCCTTATTGAATGAAGTTTAATATTGACAGATTTGAAACCTTCTTTGCAGCAGTCCGGTCAGTACCAGAACCCCCACTAAGAACCAGAGCTCGTTAGCAGAGGTTCTGTCTGAGCCAAAAGTTTTCAGGTGCTCTTTGCTCCAGCAAACCCAATTTAGAAGATTTCAGGACGTCCTCCTCATGCCATGAGGCTCCATCACTTAGTGTAGTGGGGTGCCTGGCGGGTCTGACCCCGGGGTCTGTTACCCCCATCGGGGCGGGGCTTGGGACGCCCGGGGGCATCCTACGGCGGCCGCATGCGGTGCTCTTGGGGGTTCCGTGGTGGCGGACATGGGTTACTGGCCTCGTATCTGTGCTGCTGCTGGGTGGATCCAGGGTTGGCCCAAGGATCTGGGGTCCCTGGGGTGCGTTGCCCTGGGCGGGGGCTCCGGCGGGGCAGCGGGGGTTCGGGTTCTGTGGGGAATGCTGCCTGGGGTCTGGGCTGGTTTACGCCCGGCTGTCCGGCCCTGCCGGGGCCTCTGGTGGGGCCTCTGGTGGGGCCACTGGGACCC